TTAGGACTAAGATTTGCTGAGAGTTAAATAATAATTATTTTTATCATAGGTATGTATATGTATTGCTTTAAAATGTATGACCAAAAAAAATTTAAGGAACTTTTAACTGTATTTATTAACTTTTTTTTTAGGTAGGTACTAGGTACTTAAGTAAAAAGGGCTAATAACTTTTTTTGGAAAATCAAGTTTTTTTTATCAATTTTATCAAATTACAAAAAAATAAAAATTGCCGGGACTGACGTTCATTGATAATCAGATTGTACATCAGTTTTTCTAATAAATTTTATTTCTACTTACTTATGTTTTGTATATCTATTTTTTTTTTTTTTTTTAAGGCGGGATTTATGAAGGTGGATTATCAAAAAAAAATAAAAGTACACCGGTAACAGGAATCTGCGCACGCCTATGATTTATTATTAAATTAAAGTGTTTTAATTACCTTGGTCATTGTTTTTCTTTTTATTGAAAAAGCCCGATATGGACAATTTTTGACGTTTATTCATGTTTATTGCTGACGTGACGTGTAGGACTGTAGGAGTGCGGTTGAGGTGTTTACTATTTTCAACAAAATTACAATTTATAAATTACATACGCGAGTACGCGACAAGCTAACATAATACTGATTACTCATTCGTGGAGCACCTCGTTTCCAAATAAAATATAAATAATATTTAATTTTCCTTGAAAACGATCACCATTTGTTAATCGTCGATAACTAAAACAACGGACGGATTCTCAAAATACGGAGTCAATATATTATTATTGTCAGTGGTTTACTATGAATCGTTATCGTCGGTACACCCAGGGAAGTTTTCGTAATAGTTATATTTTTAGCAATTTAGCAGTTTATACCACGAATTAATACGCAGTGGAAACACTTGAAACGTGTTACATAAATTATATAACATTATTATATATTTTATTATTGCGTTCCTAATATACATATGTGCTAATAATAATGAACAGATTACGAACTAATACCAAAAATTAAATAAAATATTAATCGTTTCCAATTTTTTTTCATATTTATTTAATTTTTCTAAGAAACAAATTCATATTCATATAATTGTTGAAGGACGCTGCGTCCCCTGCGTTCCTTGATGAATTAAATTAAGGGGTACGCTATAATATGAAGAAAAATGAAGAGTAGCTCAGACCCTCTGCGTCCCCTCCCCCAATTTAACCACTGCATGTTTTTACAACGAATGCGGCCCGCAAGATTTAAAAAAATAATATGTGGCCCGCTGCATAAAAAGGTGGAAGACCCCTGATCTATACCGTATGTTCACCAATTTAGGGAACACTGAATTTCTCGGCCGGATTATGTTGGAATTTACCGAATTTTTTTTCGCAAGCTAAAGGTATATAAATACACATTTTCAAATAAATTTCAAATTTTTAACCCTCTTGGTACACGCATGCGCAATGCAACTTAATTTTTATGAATAGCAACCAGTATTTTTTATACCAAATTCGGATATACTGAATGTTTTTAAGTCATCTTTACCAATTAACAATGGCTCTAAAATCAAAACTGAATAAGAACTATTTAAATTTTAATAAATAATACATTTTTACAATTCATTATAAAATGCATAAACCATGTTATCAATTTTAATTAAATAATTGTATATCCATATTATGTTAATCTTGTTTATAAAACGTATTTAAAAAATTACGTAAAAATATTCAAAAAGTAACAAATAATAAATAATTATAAATGGTTTTATGCATAATCCGGCCGAGAAGTTCAGTGTTCCCCAAATTGGTGAACACACGGTGTATATGTATATATAAATATACATATTATATAGTGGACGATAGGTTGACTTTGCAAGTTTTAAGACTTTCTTGATTTTATTTTAATATTTTCGTAACATTTAATACATTCTTAGTGCTAGATAATTCAAATTTCGAGTATTACACTTATTTCTAAAATTACTAGTTATAATGTTATTTAGTAATTATTAACTAACAATTTGAATTATATTTCTAGTAATGCATATTGTTAGAATATTAAGTACTAACTATAATTTAAAAGTTAAATAATTTTAATTTAAAAGTTATTTTTGGATAGAAATAAAATATGTTAAGTATTTTTTAATATTAACCTATCTACACTTGATGTATACCAATTTACTTCTTCTTCCTCTTCATTTAGCCATACAACTCTCTAAGAGTGTTAGACGTCACTACATTATCTCACCGATTTCTTCTGCCTTATGCCATTTCATGTTTATACCAATTTAAAATTGAAAATTATTATTGCAATATAATACTTTCGTTTTTTCGTATTAAAATAACACATTTATTTTTATTTTTTTTTAATTTATAATGCAAATTCCAATTGAACTTTTTAAAAATATAAAACAGACATCGTAATCACTACTCATGCATATACGTACATACGTAATTATTTTTTATTGTTTTCTAAACAAAGACATTCTGTTGAACCAGTGTCTAACTCGTGTCCGCGTAACTATTATTTTATGCAAACAAAGTTGGAACGAGAAGGGACACGCCACGTTCTCGCTTTCCCACAATATCTAGTACCGAAACCTATGTGTTGGCATCAGGGCCGTATTTAGGGAGGAGCTACAGGGTGCTGTTGCCCCGGGCAGCTAATTTTTTTATATTTTCAATATTTAATGATCTAATATTTTTGAAGAGAAACTTCTTTACAAAATAAAAAATATGTCTAAAAAAAAATATATATATATATATCGCCAATCACGGCGTCACAACACATACACACACACAACCATACTCGGTAATGGTCGAGTACTGGCGATAGATCCAAAGATTTATAAACAATCTATCCTTATGCTGACATTGCATTTAGAATGTTTTTGCGTGTACCAGCAACGAATTGTTCTTCAGTTGTCTTCAGAAAGATCTTTTTCAACCCGCAGACATTTGTATTTGGAATAATGAGGCGTTTTTTTATTGTTGCCCCCGGGTCTCAAGTTCCTAAATACGGCACTGGTTGGCACCGAACTAGTAGCTATTCACTACCCGTTTGCAATGACTCTTCGCAAACTGCATGATTTTCGTTACCCAATCAAACAAGGACGTTTGGTCAACGGGTGACTACAGAATACCTGACCGACTGTGTACATACTTAAATAAGTGGTCAAGATTCGACGGGCAAAACTGTTGAGGTGTGTGTGAGCATTTTCCCGTTATCCGGACTTTTGCAATTGGCGAATTGTTTTCGGAGACTAATTGAACATCACGGGTTAATGCGCACATCGACGCGCGTCTTCGGGACATCTTGTAGTTTTACGAATTGTATATATATATATATATATATTGCAAATACGTGCAACTTTTTTAATCAACAATCTTTATTTTAATCGAAGATAAAAAAAGAATACCTAGTTTAGATGCGTTTAAATTAAAAAAATAACATTAACGCAGAACTCCGAAGGCAATTTGATCCGGGTCGAAATAAAAATTAAATGTTCTTTATTAAGTGAGAAAATTGTTTACAATTTCAATAACAGATCTTTAACCGTGTTTATAATCTATGATTGAATTAAATGTTGTAATTTGATTTATATACGTACATCTTGACGACTGAAATAGTAAGAATAATAAAACGCGAATGGGTCTGTTTCACAATATATTTTCCTTACGCTTAATATAAATTATTAGTTGGTGGTTATAATTTTTGTATTCATACGATTTACATACTTATATAGGGTAGTCGTTATATCAACAGTACCCGAGTACTAACACATTACTTTGGTTTTCAACGTTATCAACTTAACGGCTGCATACGAACTGCGTCCCGCGGCAACAATTCCTTCCGAATTTTCTTTTCAAATGCATACCAATTGCGTCTCGTATATTTTAAAAACTAAATAATGTTTCCCTTATTTTCCATTTTTATACAGACTTAGGACTGCCTGTAATAATAACAACTACTACGGATAGGTTAAAAATATTGTTTTTGCTTTTTATAATATTGCATTTATAATTGTAACTGTATAAAAATATTATGGTTATTGCCTATTGATGATATATGTATTTTGTAATATTAACTGTAGTAAAAAAATTTATGTTATCGATAAAAATTTAAAAACTAACTTTTTTAACCTCTTCAGAATATCAACCAAATGTTTTTAAATGTAAAACATCAAGCTTTCAGTCAGATTAGGCAGAATTGGAGGCTAAAATATATTATAAAATCTATGATATTAATAATAAATATTAAAAATTTTTACCAAATTACCCAAGCAAAATAAATATTATTATTATTATTATTATTATTAGATATGCATGTATAAGAGTGAACACTGTCAAATTCCAACTTGTGTGGACTACCCACAATTATTTACAAGTATTTTCTAATCAATTACTTTGTAACAGTAGTGTGGGTGCACCTTAAGACAGAGACAATACAGATGAGAGTGGCGTCCACTTTATAACTCTAGTAGTGCAAAGTTTCTATTCTCACTGATGAACAACACTTTTTATTAGAAAGATAATTATTGTATGTACTGAATTATCCACAGTCCCAAAACAAGATTAAGAATTATATTGAGATGTTTTATGTGTGCGTGAGCTAACTTATTTTCGAAGAATAATTCTACCTCTTACGTGTATCATTATTTGTAAAAATTTTCTCAGACATCAAAACATTTAAAACCAATATTCATTCAATAACTTGTTTTGTTATTTTTTGAAAACTGAAAAACATAGTTTTGAAAGTTTAAAATGGCAGAAAAACATTTTTACACATAAAATTATAAAAATCATTTAGGACCACAGGTTTACATTCAAACAGTATTGACAATATATTATATTGAAATATATACTTTTAATACACATTACTATTCACACACATAACATAAAACAAATTTCATAACAATTTTAACCAAATTAGGAAATTAAAATGTTCGAAGATCCAAATGAGATAAAATTTAAATATTATGCTTTTAAAGCAAATAAACTGGAATGAATATATTAATAAATCATAAAACTATAAAAAAGTTTCCAATTTTCTTTTATGCTAATATAATAATTTATATTACTTACAACAAACATATACTTACAACTTTATACAAAGTCAAATTAATCTTACGATTTTAATGAGATTATTTATAATATAATTTTTAACACTAATTTTTTTAGGATTTTACGTAGTTTTAGTTTAGTTATGATGATTAAATTGTTGACTTTGTCTAATAGTAAGATTTGTAGACTGATTGGACTCATCATCATTGTCATCACTGTCATCTTCATTAACACCATTGTCTATCTCATCAAATTCAAAATCCTCATCATCATCATCATAATCATCATCGTTTCCTTGAAAATGATTTGCATATGATCTTAAATCTTCATTAGGAACAAGTTGTGAATTTCTAAAATGTCTCTGGTCAATTGTAGCTTGAGGATCAATTTCAATATTGTCATTGGAATGATAGTCATCAAACTGATCATCTCCAGAATCTTGCCTAAATTAAAAATTAAAAATAATTAAAAATTGTATACAACCGTATTTATTATTTTATGAAAATTATAAATGAATATAATTTATAGATAATGAGTAGTTATAAAAATAAATGTGCAATCAACGACACACTTCGACGTTGGTTAGATTGCCAAGCATAGTAGTGTTAAAAAGTAAAAAACTTCACAGCAGTCAATTATTCTAACTTCCATTCGTACATTTCACCATATCCCCTAAAACATACTATAATGACAGTAATTTCAACACAGTTTCGTTTTTCAATTTCATTTCGTTTTTGTGGATTGAGATTAGTTATAGAATTACCATTAGATATGTAAAATGTAATAATTGAATATAAAATATATATGATGCAAATTTAAAAAAATAAAATTCACATTTTACACTTTACCATGGTTACTAATATTTTATAAGTTTTGAATTATGCAGTTGTATACTATTTGAACAAAAAATTCTTCATGATCTTTATTGCAATGAGTTACAACATATTTAAGAATGAAATCAATGATCAGACTTCCTAAATACTAATAAGACAAAATTGGTTTTTAAATCCTCAATATTTAATTTTATATTTTTAAGCAACGAATTATAAATGTTTGCTTTTCATTAATTAAATTTAATACAAAAACAAAAAAATATCTAATTAAATCTCAAAATTAAAATTTGTCTATGAAACTGCAATGAATAATATTAAAACCAACAGTAATGTATGAAGATAATAAAAAATTAATAAAAAGATTTCACTAATTTTAATCAACATACCATTTAAAATATAATTGAGCAGAGTAATATAATATTGTAATGAATAATTATAAAAATATGAAATAATATTCTACTTACTCTAAATTAAAATCTATATGTTGCTGCCTATCAGCCCAATGTTCATGTACTCCCACTTCAGGAAGATATTCACTTTGATCCATTTCTGGAAAATCATAGTTACTACTAGGATATTGTTCTTCATATTGACCATCATCATCAAGTTCATAATTATTCTCTTCTTCTTCTATATCATCATCAACTTCTTCCTCATCAAAAGCTTCCATATCATCTTCTATATGTTCTATATTGCTGTTATAACTTTGCAAATTCTGATTTGAAATTTGATTATTATTATGGGAATTACTGTAAGCTTCTCTTGTTTCAGCTTCAGAGATAAAATTAATGCTTGGTAAAATAAAATCTGGAGGTAACAACTTGCATTTTTCTATAGTATTTAGTATTAAACGTTGTATATCTCTTCTTTTCTGGGCGTTCTTAGATACCTCATCAGGATGGAACCAATTTTCCAAATGGGTTATTGGGAAAGTATAATCCACAATTGGATTCTAAAATTAAGAACATTTTAGATTTAAACTAGTTACATGTCACATTAAAGTAAATTTACTTGCCTCAAAAAACTTTTCAAAAAAATGCATCACAAAGAGACCACAATCATAATAATTGCCCTGCTGTGGTACTCTAATTAGACCTGATTTCATAACTGATTTCGAGAAGTCTTTTGTAGAACCATTATGCTTAGCTCGATATTCTTCATATAACCAACCACGTAGTGTAGCTGCAATTCTGGCTCGATTAACACCACCAGACAATGAATCTAATATTAATATACAAGGCCTATAAAAACAAATTAAATTAAAATAATTTTAAAAAAATTAGTTAAATTAAATGAAATTAAAAAAATTACTGTTTAATTCCTTTTCGTCTTTCCATTACTTTTTGAACATCATACACGAAATCTTTGCCAGATTTCTTTGGGAAGTCGTTCTAAATATGTTTAAAAATCAAATTAATAAAACTTTAACATACAATTTACGTAAAAACAAAAATATTTTTTTGATTAATACTCAATGTAATTTAACATGAAAATAATTTATAAAAAGTAGATTGCATTTTTCATATTAGATGGTGATTTTTTTATCAAAACCTGGTGTAAATAATTGCACATATTGTACAAATACACTCCAGAAAACTTTTATTTATACTGATAATAATAAAAATATTAGCTACTATCCATCAATTAAAATGAAAAAATTAGTAGACTTTTTACAATACTTACAAAAATATTTACTATAAATCATAATATTATAATCATAATAGGAACAAATTTACTTATTGTATTATAATTAAATTGATTGTTAACAGATTATATATTTTTTATCGAGTATCAAATCAATTGAGTTTAAATTCATCACAATATCAAGGTAGTAGTAGTCAACAAAAATTTAATTTCAATATGTTTAAAATAAACTTAAGAATAAGAAAGAATAAAGCTATGTTTTCCCTGCAATGTACAAACGCAGTATCAAACGTCACTGGGTACATACATTTTATATGTGACAATTTTTCTAATTTACATTTAATGCAGCATATCAGTAAATGACGCAGTACATCCAAACGTACAACTAACCTGGACTAGTTCTGTGTATACACCATACAACCACCCCTTAGTATACACACTAAAAATGTCCAAAAAATTAGTGTTTTCATCAATTAAATATTTTTATCATTATTAAAAAATTGTCTTTCAGTTTTTCTCGTAGACACTATACTGTTAAATGTATATTTATTTAGGAATCATTCTTAAAAGTAATTAATTTTAAAACTTTTGTTCTCTGAGCATTTCACAAATACAATTTTTATATAGTTAATTGTCAATGTTTTAGAACGAAGATTTTTGTATAATACATTTTAAAAGTAAGTGTATTAAAGGAGTTTTAGACCTAGAGAGTGCCCCCTAGGGAGGAATAATAAAATTTCAGAGGATGCATGAATATTTTTAAAAAGCAACAAAACACGAAAATGAAATATTATTTTTAATTATTTTGATATTTAATCAAGACATTATTAAGTCACAATTGATGGTAACCAAGCAGTTCTAACTCTCTTATTAATTTGTATTTCTTGGTATTTTCCCAAAAAATAAATTTATTTAATATTTAAAAAAACTTCTAAGATTTTCATATTATTATATTAATTCAATAACCAACATTACATGCATGAAGTATAAATTAAATTATATAAATTTATAAATATTAAACATAATTCAATCTTAATATGGTGAGGTGGTGCGTGACTTCATGAAATATAATGAAAGCAGGTATGTACCTCAAAATGTTGAACCCTTGATGTATTAGATCACTGTTGCAAACACTATGTTAGAGTTTCAATGAAAACAGTTTGATAGAAAAAACAAAAAAAACGACTGAGTTTAGATGCATACAGACCAAAAAGTCAAACATTACGTCTAGATGCAAGATAAATTCTGTATTTGGATACTGAAAGGAAAATATCTAAAGTAAATGCATAATACAAACCTGATAGAACCAAAGATCTTCTGTGTTCCCATCAGCTTCATCAAGGTCTGTTGTATCACACAGACTTCTTACATTTCGATCTGAAATTAGGTAGGTAAACATAAGAATTAAAATCAGAAACAATACACCTGACAGATTTGATTTTAATAATGTGAAGTTCTAAATTTCCTAAATATTAATGTATATATTTAATACAACATATTCATATAATAATTTATATAGCCTATCATTATTTCAAAGATTTCAGTACTATTTAACATAAATGCTATATTTTCAAAAAACATTTTGGTATACTAATATATTGTAAACGACATAATTTTGAACCAATAAAATTATCACCACTGTACAATTTATATAGATTTAAATAAATTCTTATGTAAATAATAAATTAATAATTATTATACATACATAATATACATACATTATAATGTAAACAGTCAAGTAAAACCTAATACTATGTAAATAACAATCAATGGTATTATCATAATAGTTATTACATTAATATTAGGTTGTAAGCAATAGTGAAACTACATACAGAAAATAGAAAGTCATGTATTATGCTTAATCCTACAATAGATAAGAAAAATGACAACAGAAGAGTTAACTGACATATATATTTTATTACTCATAAGGAGTAAAATCACATCCATATTTAAAATGTTTAAATTTTAACATATTCCAACACATTTTTCTTTTTTAGCTTTTATGAGCTATAAGCTCTTTGCTTCTAAAAAAAATTTCCCCCATACTTCTCTTGCAACATATTCCAATACATTAATGAGAAAAATATTAATTTTCTGAACACCATAAAATCTTAATAAAAATGTATTTATAATGTAACCAAAAACATAAAGATAAATTAAACTTTTAATAATAAAAATAGTTTGAAATGTATTGCTAAATAGCCAAATCCCCTAATTTAGTTCTAAAATTGCCTGTTGTTCATATTCACAATAAAATGACCAGCCTACCAACCCAATGAGATCTAAGTCGTATGGAAAAAATTAGTTTTCTTTGTTCGGCTGGAACCCGATTGAGCACGATTGATCTTTTTTGTAACCCAATTGAGCACGGTTGCAATCAAACAATAGGAACCAAAAAAGAACCAAAAAACCACACAATTGAGCACGAAAATGGGTGCGACGTTGCCGCTTTGTACCTTAGAATATTCAGTGCACCGTACTACTGTGGATGCAAGATTTTTTTATAATTATTATATAATTCAATTTTAGATTTGTAACGATTATTTCATAATTTAAAACTTTTATGGCTCAGGTTTCATAAAAGAAATAACTCTCCAATAGAAAAACGACAAGATACCGTTTTTTTTGCATTTTTTATATTGTTAGTATTTAGAACTTGGTCCATATTATTATTACAAAATAAAATACATTTGAATATAATTATTTATAATTAAAAATCTTTTATTGGATTTTAATCACATGTTATAATTAAATATTTTTTTTATTTTTTTTTTGCTAAAAAATAGCACTCATACAATTGTCATGAAAAAGGTAAAAATTTAAATTTTTTTCCCTAAATACTTATTTCCAACGTTCAATAACGTTCAATAAGTATTTAATTAGGTTGTCAGCATTTTTAAATTCAGAGTACTCACAATAAGCTTTTATAGCGATATTTTTAACACACGGTAAAGTCAAGGTGCACCAACAGTTTTCGAAATATTGCACCATAATTTTACTGCACGACACTCGTGTGTTGTGCTCTATTCATTTTAATGTACTTTATTTAACAAAACGCACAGTAAAATTACAGCGTGGTAAAAATGTTGCACGGTAAAATAACACTAGTGTGTAGCCAGCCTAATAGTTAATTTTCAATCTGACAATGTGGTACATAATATTTATTTTTTTTACCGTGCTCAATCGGGTATTACTGCTTTGTTCTTACTCTTTCTGAATTACCACAACATTAAATGAGAAAAAATATTTAAAATTTTTTACTAAAACAATTGTTTTAAAATAATTTAAGTCAAATTCTATTACTTTTTATATATATTTAATATTATTAAATCTTATTATAACTTTTATATATTTAAAATAAATATTCATATTTATTTTACAAAATAGTACACTTCTAACCCAAGATTTGTTCAAAATTTATACTTACCAATTAATTCATCATCTTCACCTAATCCTTGTGCAGAAGTTCCATCCCAATACAATGGACCATCAAGGTATGGATAACATATAACTACTATGTACCAATGATAGCTAAAATAAAAATTATTTTATGAACATTTTATATAACTGTTAAATTAAATGCATACTTTTCATTTATAGGTATAAAAATAAAATCTTTTTGAAATATATTGATATTTTTGGTCCATTTTTGAACTCTCTGAAATCTTGTTAGTGAGTTGCCAAAAGGAGGATCTCCTGCTAATTTTTTTTTTGCTAATGTAGAATAAAAATATGTACTGAACACATATGTACGTTTATTGTCCTCAGAAGATAACATATTCTTATACCAGTAACTACAATACAAAAGGTTTTTTCGCCATATAATTTATAAATTAATAAATAAATAAAAAGATAGTAATGAAGTTTCAATTTAAATGCACTTACTTTAAGTGGAATTCAACAAGTTTATCGTTTAAAAATTCCTCCGCATTAAGCGTGTTATAATCATAAACCTTTATATCTACTTTTGTAGCATTAAAAGATTCAGTAAGCAGTCTAAAAAAAAAAAAATTAATTTATCAATAAAATTCCAATCACAACAATTATGAGATTGAAGAATTATTAACTTACACAACATTTTCGTATTCAGTTAAAGTCATTTCTGATTGTGGTTTTACCTAAGAAATTGAATTTAAAATAAAAACAATTAATATTTAATTTAGTAGTAACACAAATGGTATAACTGATAATTGAAGGTATCATTACCAATAACAATTAATTAATATGGTTGTAATATAAATAGTATTAAGAAATCAAAAAATAAATACATAAGCATATGACAAAGAAGTATAGAATAAAGTTTAATACTGAAGTAAAAGTTCACTTATAATAAGACTTCTATACGGAATTTATGAATAATAGTAATTAATAAAAAAAAAACTACTCGATACTCAAAGAAAATTTGGTATAATAATAACTTATTTTATTTTTTTTAACATTATGATTTCAGTACCTAAGACCATTATATTTTAACAATTATTTTTAATACTCAATTAGATGTTAGGACTATAGCACATATTAGATCAATTAGATAATCTAATGAAACTAGCATAGATTAAATAACAGTGATAATTTGTGATACTATGAACCAGAACTGGTACAGCCGGAGAACAGTCAACCACATTGCCTCCTAAATCATCTATGAATGTTAATAATTATTTTATATTTATCATTGCAAGAACAGTTTAGTTAAAAAGAAATATTTACCACTATTTTTACAAAATTCACAGAAGAAAAAAAATTAAAAATATAGATGATATAACTACTATAGATAATAAAACAATGGATATGTACTTTGGAAGAAAGAATATGTTTCAGTCTCTTACTTTTGCAATGTGGTGACTAATACCAAACAATATATCCCTTGTGGAAACAAGAAACTACAAAACACAAGTCTTTCAGACTTTAAAGACTACATTATCTACATTATAACTTATCCATTTTTCTATGTTATATCTTATCTATTTTTCTATAATCTATGGATATAATATTGATTTGGTATTCAAATAAATATGTACATTTTATAAAAAACGGAGATGTTTTGACAAAACTAATTCAAGATTTATAAGAGTTTAATATTTGAAAATTTATACCATGGATTATAATATAATCAAAAATATTCAAATAAATCTATGAAAAAAAAAAAATAACTAATAATAAATATTTCAAAATATAGAATTAATTTACGTATCAATGTATGTATTTTTATCCTATGAATACATAAAAATATATATACCTCTGGTTCATTACGATTTGATGGAAAAATGATTTTTCTTATATCTTTAGCTTGAGTAGAAGTTAAAGGTTCATACTTTTCTTTAGGTAACTTCAACATTAATTTTTCTAATAGTTGTTTATCATTTTTTTTTAAATCAAATGACCATACAATTTTTCTGACTCTAAAATCTAAATTGAATTATAAAAAAAAAAAAAAAAATAATAAAAAAACATAAATAGAAAAAGGGAAGAAAATATTACCAACCTTCACTTAAAGGGTCAAAAATTGATTTTTTGTTACCATCATTCATATTCAATAAAAATTGAATGCCAACAGCGGCTAAATGATTTGTATAAAAAATAATTAATGGATGATCTGTATAGTATCCAAACATTTTTGTAATATTTTCAATATGTAAATCAACAGTCACTGGCTCAGAATCTAATACGAGAAAAATTACAAAATATTTTCAATCGATTTTAAAGATTTTGTCATAGCAGAAATGTACATCTAGTTTAGTTATCGAAAATTCACAGGATTTTTTTTTACATATTTTCATAGAGCTTATTATTAGGGTGTCTAGCAAGCATTAAAACACTAAAAATACAATACAAATACTCAAATGGTTTATAAAACTTAAATTTAGGTTAGGATATTATTATATTTCATATTTAGCAACAATTTCAAATTAAGTATAAAAAATAAAAGCTAGCCAACACAACTATATGGTGTGCATTTGGAATGAAGAAGTGTCATTTTGGTTGTTTATTGAGAATAAGAGGGAAACTTTAGTCACCGTGAATGGTAACTTGTCACATTTTCTATATAACTTTTTTATTGAACAAACAATTTACTGAACATATCATCTCTGTGTGGGACCAGGTGTGCCTTTCAGATCCTGTTATTGTATACTGTACTTTTTCTTTTAGGGATAGTTTTTGCAGGAAAAGATGCAAGTAAAAAAAAATACCAAACAATTCCAGAATTCAAGGCAGAAACCAAAAAAATCAAATTACATGCAGCTAAATGTCATTGAACATTTCATCTACTGTATACTTCAATGCCATGCTCCTTCTTAGGTGTAATTATCATATGTAAACCAAAAAAGTTACTTAATATGATTAATATAATAATTTGTGAAGTTTTAGATTGTAACACATTGAGTAATAATATGGAAAATAATAAGTAATTAATAATAATACTAGGAGTAATAGTATGTTAAACTCTGGGTAGTATTATAAAGTGTCTATAAGGCTATATTTTTCTATAATTTTTTTTAACTATACACACCGGTATCAACACTATATTATATTAACTATTTTTACCGATATTATTTCATGGGTATTTAACAATATTATCGTAGTGCCCAATGCCATACCATTATTTTGACATGTGTAAGAACACCTCAATTTTTATTTCAGCCAAATTTTATAGTATTTAATTTATTTGTAATTAATTTTATTATAAGCATTCCGAAAAAAATTTGATTAAGAACATCTGTTGATTCAACTTAATATTTTAATAGTAAAAGAGAATTGTTTAAAATCATTAGGTCAGAATATATTAATGATAAAAACATTTAATTCTGAATTTTTAAGTACTTAATATTGGTGATTAAGTTACTATACACTATATTAATAATGTCAATAATTTAAATGTTTAGAACCTAGATGAAAATTGCCATGAGTTAATATTCACAACATTAGATTATTGGGTACTTTATAATGTATGTCGTTTAGTTTCTTTCCCTTAACTTCCCCACTAATAGTTAATCAATAAAAAAATCCTGTGTTCTGAGATTAAACATTTTTAACTTAAGGTCACCTTCTATTACTTTAAACAAAAGTAGGCAAATCTTTTGAGTTGTTTGCCTACTTTTAGCAAGGATTAACGAGGTACAAAATAAGCTCAATAATTAGATACAGTAATTATTAATTTAGTTGATACAAAACCAGAATATATTGTTCCTGTTTTAAAAATGAACAACATAGCAAATCTGTGTTCAGTAAAATCAATTTTGTGTTATTAGCTGTTAATATTATAGTAAACTGATTTAATTTAAAGAGAAGCTCATTATAAGTCTTTGCATAATTATTTATATAATTTTTTTTTTTTTTTTTGGTTAACAGGCCATGAAGGCCTTTTGCCACTCTTACCACGTTTTACTTATTTTTATAATACTTTAATAGTTAAGCCTTTAAAGTTTTAAAATAAGTCTCAGTTTAATATAATATTGAAACTAAAAACAAATACACAAAATTGATTCTTACGTCAACACATATGGGTGTCTCGTCCTTAATAGTTAATAAATTACTTATTTACTCACTTAAATTGTTAATAGTCATACGGATTCCATGCAAACAAATAAATACATCACCAGATGCTACAGTTTCATAGTTTCCAATTTGTATAATATTACATTTTTCAATTTTGAAAAAGTCTTTAATTCCAATATCTTTAGACCATACCTTTTCATCTAAAAATGTAGGGTTTACTAAAAAAATAAAATAAATTTAAAAAATTGTTTCGACAACTTATTATAATTATGTAAATGTACATACATCGTAATTTTTCAATATATTTTTTTAAATTATCCTTTGTTTCTTTTTTACAAATGGTTGGCTCATTTATTTTAATTTTCTTAAATTCATCTTCGGAATCGCTACTAGAAAGGATCTCAATAGGATCGTTTAAATTAGTTGGTTGAGGAGTACCTGATAATCATTTTTAATATTAATATGATATTTAATTATTATAGTCTATTCAAAATACTTGGAGTATCAATTCGTGTCACAGTAACACCTTTAAATTGAGAAGACATTCGGCAAGAAGTACAAACCTCATCTTCAGATACTACATCGCACTTGGAACAGTTTATTAGTTCAACTGGTTTACTTTGCTAAAATAATTGATTAATTATCATTAGAGCTTTTGATCAATAAAAATATCTAAAATAACTGTAGTAAGTAATTGACATACTAATAAACTAATCACTTTCTGACCAGCTACTGATGAATTAAATGAAACCAAAGTATTTTTAGAGGTGGTTGGCTGTTGGTTTCCAGTTGTTTGCTTGTTTGCTGATTGAATTTGTGTAATTGTAGCCATAGGATGTTGAACACTAGATACATTGTGTTTCAAATCATTTTGTTTAATAGTTTGTTGTGTATTTGAAGAATTAGTTTGTTTATTATTAATTAACGGTTGAGTTTTAGTTATAGTAAGTTTTGAAGTGCATGGCTGTTGCTGATTCACCTTCTGTGATTTATTTTGATTGTTAGACATATTTTTGATGTTGGAACTAAAAATAAAAAAGTTTGTCAAAGAAAACATATTGGATTAAAAATTAGTAATACCATTGATTAAATATACAATAGATAGCCCACGTGATGTTAAAAATTGTTAATGTCCTAGAATAGTTTTAAACACTATCAAAACCGCGATGATAACAACGATTATAGTACTTGGTAGTATGTGGTAGTACCAGCTAGTATGTTTGCTTATGATAAGCGATAAATTATAACATTTAATTTAACCGACAACAATAATAAATTCATGGAATATGGACAGCATTAAATTAGAACAAGAAGCTGTGGTTACTTTGGAATATTGTTCAAATACTTGTTTTGCTGGTTACCTAGCAATGAAAAGTTTATCAAAATTTTCCCGGTTAAATTGTGTTTATAGTGAAAGCTATTGATTCCAAATAAATTAGATTTTTTAATTTTTTGTAAAAATTATGATTCAAAAACTTCTGAAACGCATTTAAAAGTACCTACTACTGAACTAACAAAATTTATTACTTAAGCTCAACAAATTTTGCAGATATATTAGAAAAAAAAATATTACAATTTGCTGAAAATAAAATAAAAACTGAATTAATTAGTTTATTAAATGTAACTGAAACTTGTATTCCACATACTGATTATTTAATTAAACTTTTAAGAAATTTCAACTAGATATCCAATAATATAAAGCATGTAAGAATTGAAAAATCTTAAAAAAAAATTAAAATTTTTTAAAAATAATTGAAATTAATTTTTAGTGTTTATAATATTCTATTTTATAATGTATATATATGTATGTTCCTATTGGTTGTAATGATTGTTGTTGGTATAGCTACTCACTAATAAATTGTGTTGTATTAATCATAAGTTGAATATTGTTAATTATTTACAATACAATTAAAAATTATTTTAATAATTAGACATTTTTATTATTATGATTAGTTGTTGAGTGGACCTTGATTTATGTAGGTCACTATAATAGATTGGTTACAATTTTAATGCAATGATAGGTATCATCGTATACAATAAACAATTTTAAATGGAGACGATCTGTCAGCCTAGGATGTTTTATATTATTACATTATTCAAAGGTATTCATAGTAATCAAAAAATATTAATGTAAAATCAATAAATTAAGATTGAAGAGCATTAATTCCGTCAAAAATCTTTATTTTAAAACATTTTTTTATCGTTTTTAAGGTGTACATTAAAAATCTAGGCCTTGTTATTATAATATTTAATAAAACAAAAAAAATTCAACGAGATATTAAATTATTTATAAGAATTTCGAACTCAAATTCAAATTTACGTTATCAATGTTTGTTCAAATTTTGGCTGAGCAGAACACAGGATAAGTGTTAACCGTCTTGTTTGATATTTCATAATAATATTATAATTCTTTTCTGTCAATAATAATATAATAAAAGATTATTGAATATTGTTGGATGTTTTCTTATCACAGTTTATTTCTAGACAAATATCAAAACAGGTTTTAGAATATATATATACGGGCCACGATCATTGGTAAGACCCCCCCCTCATATCAATTTTTCACTGCCTATTTCCGATTTTAATTTCTTGGACATTGAAAACATTAGTGCCATCTATTGAAAGGCCGTGTTATTAATTATGTATGGCTATTACATTATTTGTATAGTTGTGGACTATCTATTGTATACTTATTCAATGTGGTAATTCATTGTAAATTGGCACTAAACATAGTAATATGTTAAATATGTTAAAACTTACACATTGTTGTGATTAACTGGATTTGATTTAGAATTAGTTGGCAACACATCTTTAGTTTCAGAAACTCTAAACAATGATAATGAATTAAAAATAGCTAGTAATACATTTGAGTACAATATTAACAAATAAAAGCTACCTCTCAAGTTCAGGGGACTGTATAAAATATGCATTTTGTGTTAAAGTATCTAACTCTTCTTTTGAGATCACCTGAAGAAAAAAAAATAGTAAATCAAATATTAAAAAAAAAAAAAAAAAAAAAAATTGACAATTTATTTAAGTATAAAAATAATTCATTAATTTTAGATAATAATATATTTTTGTAACCAACCTCTTTCATTGCTAATCTAATAGCAACACGTAACTTATTCGCCATATCAGGTCTATCAATTTTAATTAATTGTTCACCATCCAGTAAAACAATTACATTACTGAAAAAATAAAATGTTAATCGATAAGATAATTAAATTACTAAATTTAGAAATTAACTGAAATTTCATATTTCTAATAACAATATTAAATAAAAAAAAACAATTAGTTTAAATAAATAAGTAAAAGCCAGGAGTATTACAATTGTAAAATACAACCAGTTTCAAATTAAAAATTCATCAGGTGTATACAAGGTTAATAAAAATAAAGGAACACATTAAGAAAAATGAATCGTTTTACACAGATTATTTATTTTAATAGGTAAGGTTATTTAAAATGAGTTCTTATTAGAAATTAATTTTTATTAAAATATATTAACTAAAATGTAAAATGACTTATTTTTCTTAATGTATTCCTTCTTTTATTTATTCATATTCAGTGGCAATCTTTTAATTTGGTACAAATCTGATGATGAATTTTGAATTCGAAACTGGTGGTACTTAACAAATATAATAATATTCCAGGCCAAGCTTTTATTTATTTCTATATTCATTTACAAGTATTAACCATTTAATAATTTTTAATTTTAATTTTATTTTTTATCACATAATATTATATTACCTACTCAGTACTTAAATACAATGTAAACCACCAATCACTTAATTACCAAATAATATAATACAAAAAATTACTTTTTTTGGTTATCTTTTTTTGGCTCATCTTGTTTTGTACTGTCATGGTCAAGAGTCTTGAATTTACCGTTAGGGCCAAATTGATATTCTTTTTTTACTCCACTTGGAACTTGAAAATCTATTGGAGAGGAATCTGAATTACAATTTACATCTAAATTAGATAATTCCTTAATAGGTGGTTGATTTGTTGTTTCTTGAGAAACTCTTATCGCTGAACTTGATGTTGAAGGAATTACTGCAAATGCATTATTAACAGTCGGCTTTGGAGGGGAATCTATATTCTTTAGTTTATTTTCTTTAGTAGCTGTAATAAACTTAGAAATACTTTCAATTAATGTTCTATCCGCTTTTCTTTCTCTTCTTTTTGGTAATTCGGTTGTAATAAGTTTTGGCATTTTCACCGGTCTAAGAAATGAAAAAAGCAATAATATAGTTTATTTTAAAAGTGTATTGATGATTGTTATATTTTGAAATTACTTATTTGAAATTGGATTTGGTGAGTTTCTTTTAACACTATTTTTTGTTTCCTTGAATTCATTGCATTTTGTAATCTAAAAAAAAAAAAAAATGAAGTCTAATATATTATAAATATTACTTGCTAACATATTATAATTTATTCCTCAGTAATCAGTGTTTTCTTTCACATTTATATTAATTTCTATTTCTAAAAGTATTTAAGAGTACCAAAAGAAAACCTACTTCTTGATTTTTAGCTGGTGCTACTGAAACAAGTGAGGATACTGGCATACCTATAATGTAAAATAATAATTTATAAGTGTTAAAATAATTTATTATATAATATTACCTTGTGATACTCGACTAATAGTAGAAACTGGAGGCTGCCTAAGAAATGAAAAAAAGCAATAATATTGTTTATTTTAAAAATGTATTGATGATTGTTATATTTTAAAATTACTTATTTGAAATTTGATTTGGAGAGTTTCTGTTAACACTATTTTTCGTTTCTTTAAATTCATTGCATTTTGCACTCTAAAAAAATAAAAAAATAAAATTAAAGTGTAATATATTTTAAATATTACTTGCTAACATATTTTAATTTATTCTTCAGTAATCAGTATTTTCTTTTACATTTATATTAATTTCTATTTCTAAAAGTATTTAAGAGTACAAAAGGAAAACCTACTTCTTGATTTTTAGCTGGTGCTACTGAAACAAGTGAGGATACTGGCATACCTATAATGTAAAATAATAATTTATAAGTGTTAAAATAATTTATTATATAATATTACCTTGTGATACTCGACTAATAGTAGTAACTGGAGGCTGCCTAAAAAATGAAAAAAAGCAATAATATTGTTTATTTTTAAAAATGTATTGATGATTGTTATATTTTTAAATTACTTATTTGAAATTTGATTTGGAGAGTTTCTATTAACACTGTTTTTCGTTTCTTTAAATTCATTGCATTTTGCACTCTAAAAAAATAAAAAAAATAAAAATTGAAGTGTAATATATTTTAAATATTACTTGCTAACATATTTTAATTTATTCTTCAGTAATCAGTATTTTCTTTTACATTTATATTAATTTCTATTTCTAAAAGTATTTAAGAAAACAAAAAGAAAACCTACTTCTTGATTTTTAACCGGTACTACTGAAACAGGTGAAGATACTGGCATACCTATAATGTAAAATAATAATTTATAAGTATTAAAATAATTTATTATATAATAGTACCTTGTGTTATTCGACTAATAGTAGAAACTGGAGGCTGTTTTGGCAGTGTAGTAGGACTTTGATTTTTAGTAGTAGGAGTTATTGATATACTTGGATTATTGATCAACATAGGTGGCATTGGCAAAATTCTTGCTTTGGAATATCTAAATATTAAAATAAAATACATATAAATAGCATATGTTAAGAATATTGGTCAATATTAGAGATCAAAATTATTGCATATGCACAGATTCACACATTTAAAAAAAATATTATACACATATGAATAACACTAAACCCCAGGTATTACATGTAATAAGAATAAGATGAACATACATTTTTCATTCACATAGTGACAAATATATGTTAATTCATATTTTCAATTTTGAGTCACATCCAATATCGAGTATAATATTCAATAATTATATTATTAACAATTTTATCAAATTTATAAAAATCAGTTATAAACACTCAACAAACTATGGATACTAATAAATGTTTTTAATTTGAAATATATAGCAATAATTTAAATACTACACCAATACTACTAATAAAAATAAAATTTTTTAAATCAGTACCCTATACTTTGGATTACCTATAGAGTGACTAGTGTATGAGTATATGAAATAATACAAACAGTTGTAAAAAATCAAGTTTCAATAAAAATAAAATGGTGAATAAAGAATTTCCTTTGTTTTTATGGAATTTCTTGGAAAATATTATCAAATTTAAATTGATTGAACTTCATTTTGAATAGAATTTTATACGAAATAACTAAGAAAAATTAATTGGTTTTCTTCATTAATTTTTATTTATTTTGTACAGCTTTTAACACAAATCAACTTAACTATCAAACTCGTAACTAAAACAATACTACAATATACAATAATAAAAAATAACAACAATAATAATTGTAACATGAAAAAATATTATTTTATTTAACTCTGGTTATGTTTGCTAACATCGAATAAGAGGCAACAAAAGAATATGCGATGAAGCAAAAACGTTTTCTAGAAAAAAAGCATTTGAACACAAAGTTATATATAATTGCATCATTACCTTTTAGTTGATGGGTCCATTATGACAGAATCCGCAACTGATTCAACTACAATATCCTTATACCAACCGGCAAAGTTTATGGGAGGCTCTGTAGCTGTTGGTAACAGCAGACGAAGTGATAGATTTGGAAAAAACTTTAGGGCTTGTGCTAATGTGATCACTGTCGGTTGAGTTGAACTGCCAGATTCGTTCACGCTCACCCGGAACATGGTAAATAATTGTTACCAAATTTGTCGATAACACTTCTGTCAACTGAAAACAATGGAAGTAATGTACAAGACACGACAATTAGTACAGTGGCAATAAGACCAACGACAACAACAACAACAACAACAACGGGGAACGTATTTGTTATCACAAGAACCTCGGCGGGGAGGACGTCATCAGAGTAACGGCCGGCTATAACGAGTTTTACCTATTAGACAAATGTCGGCGCTGCTCATATTACGGTTTGAAGCATGTCCGGCACGACGGACTTGTCACATCTTCTAAGTCGCGCAGCACAAGAGGGTCGAGGACTCGGATTGCGCTGACGGCGACGGTGGCAGCGTCCAGTTGAGCCGGGTTGGGTTGGCGTACACGCGAACGGGCGGGCACCGGGGACACCGGACGGACAGCGTCGAGCACCGGCTACGGTGGTTCGAGTACACACGTGATCCGGCGCCAATACGGATACGCGTATATGTAATATATATATACGCAGCACACGAACGACGGGGATCTGGACAGAACGAGCTGGAAGCACCGGGCGCTGGAACGGGATGGTACGATGGGCACAGCTGCGCGGGACGGGCGAACAGCGACACAAAGGCTGCGCGACGGCGGCCGGCGAGCAACGTCGTTGGGGCGGCGTTCAATGGCGGACGGCGGAACAATACGTACGATAACAACAACAACGGTGTATCAACGGAGCGCGGCGTACTACGTAACGGGGACGTGACGAGTCGTTGGGAATTAATGGGCGGCCCGTGCGCACGGAGGTGAGACGCTTTATCACGTGCGATAACCGCACCGCCATCTGCACGTGTGCGTACGTACATTTGCGAAAAACCCGGCTAGTTCGACCGTCCTCCGTGCACGACTTCCAACCAGTGGCGGCTTGTGCCTAGGTGTGCAGGTGTGCGCACACCACATGGATTATCATAGATATAAGAGTAAAATTTAATTTAAATTTAATTGAACTATCTGCTAAATTATATTTATTTTATTATACAAAATAAATTTTACAAAAATTTTATATTCACCAAAACTCGAAAATACTACTCCTAAAATTTGGTAAGTTATGTAATATACACACATCATCTGGTGTACAGCTCAGTCAGAACACTTTCAACCTGTGAAATACTCTCCGTCGTCGGTGGAGAGGGGGTTGACGCATAAAAGGGTCCGTGGTTTGCAGCAATTGCTGCACACACGGTAAACAATATCACCACGGCGTGTCTTATCAGAAATAGTCCACCGTATTTTCTACTTTCGTCATTATTATCGTAATATTTGTTCCAATAAATGTATTATTTAGTTTTAACAAAAGAACTTAATAATAATAAAATACGTTAGTAATCATTTCGCCTGTGTTCACTGTTATGTGTAGTAGCTTTATTTCATCATACTCACAATTTCATTTATATTACAATATAAATAATGAATTCGGTTGATTATCTTTTAAAAAAAAAAAGTTTTCTTTACATACAATTGACGAAAAAATTTAAATAAAAACATTAGGGAGACCTATGCCTGATTTGAAATTAATACAAGTCATTAAAAAGAAAACACGTCAATTTACGCGTTCATTTACCAATGATACTTACACGAAGTATAATAATTGGCTCTGTGGTTATGATAAACGTAATGCAGTTTTTTGTTTTTCGTTTTTATTATTTGGTGGAGAAATGGTATGGACCAAAATAGGAATGATAGATTTAATTCATTTAAATGATCGAATGAAAAAACACGACTTAACTGTTAAACATATGAATAACACCTTGAATTTACCAATTTCAGGTAAAACAAATATTCTTTCAATGTTGGATAGCAGTTACAGAAGAGGTATTTATTTATATACTTTATTTATATTACTGTTTGGTCGTTTAAAAATTTATTTTTTTATTTAGGTATAGAGCTACACAATGAAAAAGTTTCCAACAATCGATACATTTTGAATGTAACTATTAATTGCATTAGATTTTCTAGCGCTTTCGAATTAGCATTGAGAAGGTATGATGAAAAAGATACATCTTTGAATCCAGTAATTTTTCGTAGTTTTGGACGAAGTTGTTCACGACGTTTGCCTAAAGCAGCTCAAACAAGATGGAATTTTCATTCTAGAACAGTAAATATTGTATTCGAGTATAAGGAAGAATTAATTACTTGCATGGAAAAAATAATAAGTGATGAATCCATTAAACATATACCTACTATTGAACAGGCATCGCGACTAAAAAGAACATTACTTGATAATACATTTATTTATTGGCTTACAATTTTTCACAATATCATGCCTCATGTCGATATATTGTATAGTCAATTGCAAAAAAGAGAAACTGATTCAACAACTGTGAAAAATAATATTGAAAATTTTATTAGAGATTTTCAAAATTAGAAACCAAATGGGAACGTTATGTGAAGGTAATTTTGAACAAAGTGGTAATAAAAGAAAACACAGAGAAGGCGAACTAAAACGAGAAGCAATTGAAGTGTGTGATAATATTATATCTCAAATAAAAGAAAGATTTGATTTTACTGGTCATCTGGTTGCTTAAAATTTATTTTTGGCCGATAATTTTGAAAAATATAATAAGCATTTTCCAGATGATTATTTTAATGAAACTATAAATGTACATCCATATTTTGACACTAAAAAACTAAAAACCAAGTTACAATTAATCTATAGCAGAACTGAATTTAGATCCATGAGTGGAACTGTTTCATTATTATCATTTATACAATCTGAAAACCTTACTGGTACATTAGGTGAGAGCATGAAGCAGTTAAAAATTATTATTACAATACCAATGTCTAAAGCGGAATCAGAAATGTGTTTTTCTACATTAAAAAGAATCAAAACATTTTAAAGTAATGCATCAAGAAAAATTATTGGTGTTAGCAATGCTATCCATCGAAAGAAACTTTGTAATGAATATAACTGATTTCAATAATAAAGTCATAGAACAACAATTTGCCAATTCCAAGGAGAGAAGAATTGACTTTATATATAAAAATATTTAATTTTTTTGTGTACCTACTTTTTATAATTAATTATGACACTGTTGCTTATTGTAACAATATATAGATACAATAAATTATAACAAATATGTAATGTTATAATTCATAATATATGTTTTAAAATATGTAAAAATCCAATAAATATCATGATAATGGCATTTTGAATCTAATTTATTTGTAATTAAACTTTTGTGATTTATTTTTTGCACACCGCCCACTTTGAACATCATGAACCTCCACTGCTTCCAACAACAATACTTAAATAGCCTTGCTATTTCGATCCAATCGATTTCACTTCACCTAATGCTCGTAATCGCGAGCTACGCTAATAAAATATATATAAAAAAAACAACAACGCTTTTGTCCAAAAAAAAAAAAAAAACCCGTTTTTATCCGGCTTACAATCAGGCCCGGACTAAGAGGGGGCAGAGGGGTCGCGTCCCCAGGGCCCACAATGTTATGC